TGAAAGCTAAGTGTGTAACTCCCGGTCACAAAGCAGCTGCAGTCTCAAGCTGCAGGTTGTAGAAACAAAACTGTCAAACGGAGGCTTTGCAGAGCCTAAGAAATATGCAGATTTTTTTAAATGTATTTAAAAACGGCACGTCGGAGGACTGACAGGCTGACACATTAGCCAGCTGGGCTAGCTGTCAAAGAGCAACCGTTAGCAGAAGATAACACTCCTCGACTTTGAGGGTCTTCGGCGGACAACAAAAAATCTCCACAGCTCGTAGCGGCAACACAACACCGAGACTGCATGGAGCTTCAATACGGGGGTTCGTACACACACACCCGGCCGTGGGTACCGGACCCCCCACCCGGGGCTCGGCGTGTGGCCGGGTAAGGTGCACTGTCATCGGGGTCTGCAGCCAGCAGAGTCCGCGGATGGAGCTGGAGGGGCCCAATCGATGCCCCTGAGCTCCGGTCAGCCTCGATATTAAGCCCACGCCGTGGGTTGGAACTAAGCCACGTTCCCCAATACTCCACCAAGGCAAAAAAAGCGTCTTCCCATTGACACCTTACCGTATATGGGTCTGAGTCTCCTATCGTTAGGGTCTTGCACATGGCCTCTCGCCGCCATGGTGGAGTTTACCTGCTGGGGGAAATGTTCGCGCATGCGCAGAGGAGGCTGCATCAGGAGCGATTAAAGGATTTTTTTCCCCCCTCTGAAAGCTCAATAGTGTCGATGTGTGGAAGCCCACTGCTGTCCAGACTAAATATTAGACTAAATATCAGCGTGGGTTTATTTAACCATCTCAAAACTGCACCTAAATGTATTTTGTTTAAAGTCTGTGTACCTAAATGTAAATCTAAATGTTTTATATTAAGATGCAAGGACAGTTTTTTAACTATATTTTCACTTTATGATGATGCAACAGGTCTTTTTAAATATATTAGATTAGCATTAAAGGGATAAAGCTATAAAAAAGTATTTGATCTTATTTTATAACTATATATATAATTTATGTTTATAACAATTTATAACAAGCGCAATTGATTTTTTAAAAGAAAATCTGTTCATCTTTTATTTTTACTGATTATGGCAAACTTTTACTAAACTAAGACAAATGTGCATTCTATCTTAAAAATGCAACTTCTGTATATTAACTTTTTCCTTTTTTTCTCTTCAGTTTTGTTAAGACACACGTACATTATATCTTACAAATTGAATTTATCTATATGAACTTTTTTCCTCTTCTCTCTCTTCTGTGTTGTCAGAATTGGTTGAATTATGATTCTAATATTCTTGAACTGCATTTTGAAAGTGTCTAAAAATGTTTGTTTTGATTTGGAGCTTTGAAAATAAATTATTATAAAGGTTAACATTTTTTTTTAAAGTTAAAACTCCCTTGGAAAAATTCCACATGAAAATGTTCACAAGGATAAAATGATCTCATATTAGAGGAAGAAAACGACAAAGATATGATGAAATTATCAGGCCTTCACAGGCACAAAAAAACAAGCAGAAACAAAGCGACCCAACACAGATTTTGCTTATTTGTTCAAATTTATTAGATATTCTGTT